ATCCTGAAAACGAGAAAAAATAGGCAATGAGCACGCTTAGCCTAGAATACCTTATTGCAGAGTAGTTGATAGCAAGATTTCCTAAGGCAGTTTACTCAAGATTTCCTCCAGGAGGTTGGCTTAAATACAGTTTATACATGTTTTCCATTTCAAATAAGCAAGTTATCTGGGTTTTCGCCACGGAAGAAGTAACAAAGTTCAGGGTTTCCTGCACTTTTTGATTGAAAAAAATAGCTAAATGGTGACGATCTAGGTATAACTTTATGTCCCCACCTACACATCAAATTTTCAAGAAAGAAAAAGACATACGGTAACTCACATATCCTGCTAGTTGTTTCTTCCAGGTAAGAACTGAATATGGAATAAGCGGGAGATAAAAAACCATTGAATCCTTAAGATTACAACAACTGTACACGAATTAATCTGTGCATGGGAAATTTAAAACATGATAGGCCAGTAACCTTAATTTGTACCTATCGCACAACAAATTTAAGAATTAGGTAAGGAAACAAAATCCACTTTCAGCTAAGCAGATTCCCTACCAAATGGCCCCTAAAATTTTGAGGCAAGCACATATGGTTATTGTCCTACAAAATGGCATCAAAACTTATAAAAACACTGTGATGGCTATTAAAAAACAGCACAACATCATACTTTTATAAGCTGAATTGGCACTCAGAAACAATATCTTCACAAGCTTGCACCAAAAGAAAAATCAAGAATGCGAATCTAAGGACTTCTTGCAATGCTAAAACCACATTCTGAATAAGCCATTAACATGCTTATTTTTCCAATATCAGTTATCTAACATTTGCATACACATGTGAGGGCATGCCACCCAAAACTCCAAAGGTGCAGCCTTAAGCACAGTACCCTGTTCCAACCCTTGCTTCCATTTGTCTTTATGTGATATATCATTGTACGAAGGCGTTATGTTTTTTGCCATATTTAGTTGGTGCAGACGGACACAGTAATGACCCCTAAAGCAGTAGTAAGGGATAACATTATGACTTTGATAGCCAGCTGTGTTTTTTACCAGGGTGCAGTGTAGCAGTTATGCATGATTCACAAACAAATTCTAGCATGTGGAGCTTTGAATTAAACAACCCAAAATCTGCACAAGCTATCTTCAATACTGTATTAACTTCACTCAGCGTTTGTCATAAAGAGGAGGTGAAAAATCTTCAAACCGAGAGTCAAGCTTGTGGGTTAAATTTTAAGAAAATGCACAAGTATGTTGAACTATATGTATTGGTTTACTTGGCCAACACCACTTTATCATTAGGTTGAGAAGAAAGTTGGCCAAATGCACATAATCTATAGTAGACATAGACACAGATGCACATCAAGAGCTGGATTACCTAATTAGATTCAAAAGGACAGAATCAAACTTGAATGACTTAAGAATTCTAGTTCATTAACTGTCTTCACCACAAATGCCAATTTTTCAGACAATTTGACATCCTCATAACAAAGCCATTCAAACTTCTCTATCAACTAAGCGTATCCTACATATCAATTAACCAATCTGCAAAAGTTGCTTTGATAACCAAAACACTTTAAATGAACAACATATCCCAGTCCTACCCATCATTACTGTACAACAGGAATCAATATCTCCCTGGAACACTAGGAGGAAGAAATACTTTTCAGTCGCAACTTACAAAAACAACTCTCACCACCACTAACAGTGAGAAGAAGTTTATGTTTCCTGCTCTATCTTCACCACAGGGTCAAACGCAGAAACCCAACAACTGGCACATAAAGTACAAATTTTGAGTGAAAAGCAACTTTTGCGTGACTAAACATCATAATACACAGAAAGATGAACTTTTTTTCTTGTTAATTTGAGCCACAACCAATTTCCACAACAAAAGAAATTATCATAAAGATCATCATTTCTGGAAATATGTTAAACCATAAGGCACAAAGATTGACACATGGCTGGAAAAGCCAAATATAAACACTTGCTCAATGCCGCAAAACAGAAACAAGTACAACAATCTGAGATGCAACAGTGCACGGGTACAAAGAAACAGATAGCAGAAAACTAAATGTGACAGTGCTCTATTCCAAAGGGATCATTCCTTTTACGGAAAATATCACCATTTCTTTGAAATTTAAACAAAACCCACGAATAAAATTACATCTTTAAACACAACGAAAGTGCAAGATAGTAGGGTAAGAGTGGTGGTACCTTGAGAGAAAAATTGAGAGCAACAGAAGGGTAATATCTCAGAACACTGCTCCCATTGCCTCTCCACAGAGAAAGAATCCCTTCTTCTCTAATTGTCCTGGCTATGCAATCAAACATCCCCTGAAACCTCCTATGCGGCCCAGATAAAATAGCAATATTACTCTCCTGGGTTTGTAACAACAGCTTAGCCCTCTCAATCGGGGCTACAATCGTGTGCACGACGCCCCCCATCACTGCGCCTGCCAACAGATCTCTGTGAAAATTAGTCAACCAATTTGATTGCCCTGATTCTCTTAAACCCAAAGCCTTCGCCTTCGATGAAAACCGAACACCACTACCACTGCCACTTTTCTCTTCTGCCTCACCACCACCATCCTCCACCATCATCCCTCTTTAATCTAGGCACCAAACTAAAATCCCTCAAAAACCCACCTCCCCTTTAAAACAATATGCATATATGATTGTTTAAATCAGCATATATGCCTTCCCTGGAAACGGGTTTTGTTCATGCTTGAAAAATTTCCACTACGATTGTTGTTTGAAAAAGACAAGCCAATATATAACTTCTGGGCTACTCTTAATTCTCATCAGTACCTCACTTTTTCTCCGTCAAGATTGTTGCTTTTCTTTTGGTTGGGCTCGGCTCTCCGTGCGTTCGAGTCAGGTTGGTGATTTAACAGAATTTTGAAGAGAATGGTAGCCTTAGTACACCAATTTCCATTTCCGAATGCGTTTGTTGAGACTGAGACAAAGTCACGGTTGGAAAATATTAATTAAAGGGAATAAAAGCGGAATTTATAGAAGTCGGAAGAAGGGAGGGATTGGATTGGATTTAGTACGGATGTTTGTCCACGTCATACAAGCCCTGTTTTGTCCCACGTGTCCTTAACCCTAAACGGAGGGAACCCTCACCCATTACTTTACCGTAAACCAAACTAAAGGATTCTCGGGGCTTATAACAACCATTTCGAAAAATTTTATGGTAACCCTCCCTTCAATTTGTATTTCCTAAGAGTGATAGTTTTTTTTTTTTTTTCAAAGAATGATTGTTATCTATATTCCAAATTAAAAAATTGTTACTATCTAAATTCTGCTTTAGCAAAAAAATTTTTAAAAATTTCTGACATATTTTTATCTTACCTATATTATATCGCTATAATATTTTTTCTGCCAAAAACTATAAAAAATCTTAATCCAAACAGGACCTAGATATCAAAATCACTTATTTACATGCCAATGAATATAACTCAATAACTCAAAATTATACAATGACAATCTTTAGCCTAATAGATATTTAAATATGTCTGCGTTTTTTCAAGACAGTACGTAACGTAGTCGGTGGTCGGGCTGCAAACGAGCCGAACCGAGTCGAATTTTGGACTTGTCGAGCCGAACTCGACTTAATAACAAGTGGGCTCGAGCTCGACTCATCAAGAAAATTGAGCTCGAGCTCGACACGACCAAGGAAAAACAAGGCTCGCAAGCTGTAGCTCGGTGGTAATGTTTCATAGGTGTTATCTATGGACTTTTACATTTTTCTTGACCTTTTATTTGTCGAAAGTGGTAATAGCTCACTTGATATAACAATCATATAGTATAATTATGTAGCACTAATCATGAGGTACCTAATTATGATCAACTTAATCATGAGCTAGGCATGTGTGCTTTTTATTGATTGAAATGTATATGTACATCTAATTTTGTTCTATCAAGTTAGTTCATGATTAAGTTGATAATTATGTAGTTATACATGTATCATTAATTCAAGTTTTGATTGGAAAAATAAAAATTTGGATGTGTAAATACGATATAAATGTTGTTTTGATAGATAGCACATGTTATTTCTCGTTTTTCCCCCTTTCCTGAGAGAAGAAGAGGTGAACGTGTTTCATCTCTATATTCTTGAAAGTTTATTTACAATGTGAGTTGTTTTTTTTTTTTTCTTATTGAGAACACATGGTTGATGTGAAGTTATTGCTAACCCTAGAAGATGAAATTGACTGTGATGATCTAATTCAACTATTCAAGGGGCAAGATCTTATTTCCTAGTACCATGGAAGCAAACGATAATAAAGGAAAAAAAGGAAGAAAAATGAATGAGTACGTGAGGCTAAGGATGTAAACAAATATGATCAAACTGAACATCCTAATATTCATTTTGTATGATTATTTTAACGAGTTCGAATTGATTTGTTTATTTATCAGGTTGAAATCAAACGAACTTTTATGGAGCAGCACTCAGAGTTGAATTAAGTTCAAGCAATTTGAATTTTTTTTTATTTATAAATTTCAATTTTATCTTGATCAAGTTAAGGCCGAGCTAAGCCGATTTCAAAAGTTTATCGAGTATAAAATACTGTTGCACCTTAGTTTAATTAGTTGATGTGAAATAAACTGTTAATGAACTGAACTTAATTTGAACCTAATTGGAATACCCACTAGTTGATTCATTTTATCCCTAGTCCCATGACAATGAGATGAGAGAAGAGTAAATTGGAGAAAACCATAATAAGTGACCATCCAATTCCAACTAACAGAATATGTTAGCCAGTTACTTTCATCTGTCAGTGCCCTTTGAGTTTGGGACACTCTACTTTGAGCTTTCCTTCACCAGATAAACACGACATCGCCGTCCAAGCAATTATTTGTCCTCTAAAAAGGAGAGAGTCAAAAGGTAGGGATTTATCATTAAACAAGGAAAAGCTTGAGCATCGATGCTTTTCTTTTCCCCACCTCCAAAACTTTTTGGATCATTGAATGGTTAATAAACGAAACAGCAAAAACGCATACTAAAACTTTGAAGTACAAAACCAAACACCGAAGAATTTTTATATATTGAAGTACGCTTCTCCTTTTTCCTTTTTGGTTTATTAAGAGAACCAAAAACAGAACCACCTGTGAAAACTGAAACATATGTAGCAAAGTTCAACAATTTCTTGAAAAATGGAACCAGATTCAGAAAGTGTTCTGAACTTCACTCCTTAAACATATGTGCTAAGAGATGCCAATCTACTCAATTCCATAGAATTTTTTATGTAACTCGTACATCTCCACAGAATCAGGAAGAACTTTTCGAACGCTATCCCTTGCTAAACATCTTTTGACCCAAGCTGATAATTTTGGGCACTCCTCCTCCAGTTTGAAGTTGCCGTGACTCTCATATCCATAAAACATGCTTGAGAAGGGAATGAGGACAACATCCAGGTATCCGAAATTTGCACCTCCGAAGTACTGTTCATCTCCTAACACTGCCTCCAGTTGCTTCAACTCTCCAATCAGTTCGTTCTTGCTTTCTTCTTTTGCTCGATCACTTTTGCTCTTCAAGAACATAGCTTGTGTGCTAAAAACCTACCCCCAAAAAAAAAAAAAACTTTAAACATGGAAAACAAATATTCTTCTTCTTTTTTTTTTTTCCCTCTTGATGGGAGGAGTAGCAGGGCTCAACTCTCAAGCCCAACACATTATTGTACTAAGTAGCAAGATTTGATGATATCTGAAGTTGCTCAAGGGTATGCCCCTTCACTTGTGTACAGCTTCTTGAGTATCAATGGAAGAGTCAATAAACTTATCTAAAAAAAATAATAATAATAATTGATCGACTACTCGGTCCGTTACCAAAAAAAAAAAAATGAAAATAAACGAAAACTGAGCACCAAAAAGGTGGAAATCATTTTACTGGATGAAAACACATAAATACTTCGATATTGTTCCAATTTCAATTAACAAGCATCCCATCAAGAATAGCTATATTCGTTTCTTTTTTATTAAAAAAAATTGCATTAGAAAAGCACAGCAGTCTAACCTTATTGTCAAGAAAATGAGTCCAGAATCTTGCAATGGCTCTGTCATAAGGATCACGTGGAAGCAATGAAGGGAAACCATCTTTCCATGTTTCATCAATATATCCAAGTATTGCTGCAGAATCACAAACCGGTTGTCCTTGATGAATCAGGATAGGCACTGATTTTCTCACTGGGTTCATGTCCAAAACTAGTTGGCTTCTTTGAGGGTTTGTAAGATCTTCTTCCCTGTATTCATATTTGATCCCTTTCTCTTCCAAAGCTATCCTCACCCTCATGCCAAAACCATTACCCCAAAAGTCAACCACCACCACAGAGCTACTGTTGGCCTCCCTCATTTTCAAGCTTCAACTTCAACTTGAGTAGGTATATCTAATTTCAGCGCTTCTGGTCTTGTATTTTTGCGAGGGACATGGTAAGCATTTATAAGCCTTTCTCAGTAACTACTAAGTTTATACTTTGTGGAAAGAATTCCATTAGGCCTAAAATCAGAAAAGTCAACATTGGAGTTCCAAAGAAAAAACAATCAGCAATTTTTAAATTCAAAAGATTCCTAAGGCTGTCTCATTGCTTCCATCATGATCTTATACAGAGAGTTGACTTAGGCTGATGAATGATCATCTGGTTTGTGATGTTTGCCTTGACGTCTGAGACAATTTGTGGAATTCTCTGAAATTTCTTGACAATCCCATACTGCTATTGGGGAAAAATGTTACCATGTGTTAATAGGAATATGTATCCAATACATTTGTAGAAGATAAGAATGCAAAGTCAAAGTCAAAAAAATAAAGATAAAAATAAAATCGAATCTGTAAGAAATGACAACGACCTAAGATGAAGAAAGAAGAGGAAGAAACAATATGAAACAATAGTTGGATTCAAAGCCCAATATCATTTACTGAAAGTTTTGGTTGACTTGATTTGCTTCTGGATAACTGGTACATAATTGAAAAGCAAAGCAAACTAATGCGAATTACTGACACAGAGAAGAGAAAGAAACCTAAGTTTGATTCCCAGCAAATAAAAACCGATGCCATGGGTAAACTTTATGACAACTAATTTGGAATAGGGAACATTCTTTTTCCATGTGCTGGAAAAATTTTAGCTCTTCCCATGCTCCAACCATGTAACTTTGAGATAGTAACGCTTTTCGTCCCATAGTTAAAGACATAAAGGTGGGCTTCTTGACCAACAGCTAATTCTGGATAGACTCTAGAAGTAATGCAAGTCTTTCCACCACCTCCAAAACTTTCAACAATTGAATGGTCAATCTGCAAACATCAAGAATGCATTACAATTAACAAACTTTTTCTGTAAAAAAGAAAAAGAATCTCTAATCTAATCAGATAGTGATGATCATACGTGATAGTTATCAGAGCAAGTCTAACTTGAACGTAATGTTGTTGTAACAGAGAATCATTAGTCATAGTAAGCTAATTCACTTGACATTTGAGAGGTAAAGTTAATTGATGGAGTAGCAACTTACCAAGCTTCTCAGTGAAATGTTTTCTTTGGGGTCTACATCAACAAAAGCCCCGAAGCTGGATTTGTTAACCTCTTTTCGCAAAGAAGACCTGTAAAATACCACCAAAGCTTACAGATTAAGTAGATATATTTTTTTATTATGTAAGTCATACTGTTGAAGCAGAGTGGATTGAGAAGGCTTACCTGCTTTGATCGCTGCACATGAGCACAGCGTATTTATCATCATGGCTTTTGAATACCCGAAAGAAAACAGCAGTTCGTTCAGTCAAGTTTTTCGAAGCCAAGACCATCAAGCCAAATGGCCCGATAACTCCTTTTGTGGAGGCATTCTTCTCGCTGCAAAGAATTTTGGGATCAACTTTTTCCGGATGCATCAACTCAGCATCATGAAGATTTGGCAGGTGGAATGAGACTTCTACATCAGCCTATATATGAAGGAAATTTTACACTGATCCCCTGACCAAACAACAAATGGGTAAAGAAGAAGAAGTACTAGCTTGGGCATGTTTTACCTGCGAAGCTGTGATGCCTGTGATTTCGAAAGCCGTTCCTCCCTTGACCCCCTTATTCTGAAGGCTAACCTCTTTTCGGCGCAATCTCTCAATTTCTTTGATTGGCCACTGCGTTAATTGCTTGCCATTTTTGTCTAGCACGATACTTCTAGGAATTGACTGCAAAATAAACAGAATGTCTTTGCTAACTAAGTGCTTTTCAGTAGAGCATAATGACAGATCTGTGCAAAGCAGATATTGAGCAGGAAGATATTGTTTCGAAATGAAAATCTCCAATTTCATTGCAAGAAAACTGGTAAATGGACTGGGCTAGGACTAGGAGACAGAAAAGTCAGATTGCAAAATGTAAAACAGTAATGTGCCAAATTACCTGAAGTCCTGACCACCCTTTCTTGATGTCGTCTAATTTATCATCCGCCTCAGTTACCCATCCCCATAATATTCTTCTTCTCTTGGCACTATCATAAAATGTCTTAGATGCATAGAATATCCCATAATCATACCTCAGTTTCAAATAGCTCTCCATGAAGTCGACATCAGGGATAAATTTGTCAGTTTCTGGATTGTAGGTTCCAATAATGTAGTAGTCCTGATCATTAAAACTTGCTTTCAACACATGCTTACTATTCTTCGAATGCACAGAAGTGTCAAGTCCATTTCTGCGACTAACAATCACAGGATAGAAATCAGGACACTCCCACATTTTTGTTTTATTCGAAAAATGCAGGGGTTTTTCGCTCTTAGTCCACGTTACAAAATCTTTGCTGCGATATAGAAGTGCTGTCCCATGACCATCAATTTGGCTCCCAACAACCACTCGCCATCTTTTATCCGGCCCCTGCCAGGCTGTCGTTGGATCTCTGAAAAATTGTGGATCAATCCCATTAATTGGAGTCATCAAAGGATTATTTTTTGCTTTTATCCACTCTTTCAGATACGGGTCACTTGGATTCTTGGGCTCAGCCAGGTTTTGAACTTGACGGTTTTTAAAGTCAGCTCCAGTGTACAGAATTACAGGATTTCCTCCTGGAAGGATTGTTGCAGAGCCAGACCAGCAACCGTTGATGTCATAAGGCTCAGTTGGCTCAATAGCACGCTCAAGATCGATCCAATCAATCAGATTATGTGATACAGCATGCCCCCAGGTAATATTACCCCACACTGCAGCATAAGGATTGTACTGGTAGAAGAGATGGTAAATTCCCTTGTAGTACATTGGACCTGCGCCATATACATACATCTTAGTTTCACTAATTGAAAGGTTCTCCCAAGTCGTGGAAATGAAGCTCTTAGCAAGTAGAGGTAAAAGATGAACCTAGATATCTTACCATTTGGATCTACATGTTCAAATTGTGGCACAATCACCATTTTCGCCATGACGCATGCAAAATGGCACAAGCAAATTTGTATACATTAGCACAAGAAGAAACCAAAATGGTACACATAAATTTGAAAAAAAACAGTGGTAGAATATAGCATTCGTGAAAATGGAAAGACATGGCACCATTCATCCAGTTTTTAGAAGGTTGGAAGTGGTAGGCTGTTCTGTACGGCTGCTTGGGATTGTATTGGAAATTCTTCTGAATTCGCTCAGAGGCACCGACTTCACCTTGATAGGCAATCACCAAAATGTGTACAACGAGAATCCAGATCAAAGATCCCTCCATGTTTTCTTCAGATGATGAACTGAGAAGGGGCGAAACTGCTGGAAAAGGATGGAGTTTTAGGAGGCTTGTACTCTCTGTTTAATCTGTAAAGAAGTTATCCCCTATGCGTCCCGCCAAAATAGGTACATAGCATCGTATTCTATCAAACAGTCAACTTGCAGCTTGTAAAATTGACCCGGAATTCAAAAGTACATGTAATGACAAATCTGATAAAATTTAAACTCCATATGGGCATAAGAATTTCCTCATCAGCTCCCATGACTATAACTAAAATTGGAAGCTAGCTAGCTACCTAGCTAAAAATATGCCAATTGGTTGAGCGTTCAGAAGGATCTGCACACTTTCCAACCGTTGATATATACATATCAGTTTAGTAGTAGTAAAACTGGCTTGGATATGCCCGTTCAACTTCATTTCCCATGCACAACAATCAGATCTGGACTAAGCCAGTAGGACTTGTGACAAACTTTTGTCTATGCTATTATTCGATACTGCATTTTATAACTGGAGTTTTACAACTCTCTTAATTGTCATTTACTGCTCATGGAAAAGATAATAATTTGAGGTTATGATACTTTGTTTTCCTATTACATAGGTCTATCAATCCGAATTCTTGAGATGAGTTTTGACATGTCCAAACTCAAATCATAAAAGAATTCAACTCACAAAAATATTGCACTCAGCCTGAACTCAAAATTAATACATAATTATATATAATATGCATTTAATATTCATATGTCTTTTTATATGTAATACGTATTATTATATATATATATATATATATATATGTGACAATGCATATACTCTCTATACTTACACGTATAATTTTTAGGTGCTAAGAAGGCGTTGATAGTGATTAGTGGTTAAAATTGAAACACTAGAATTTAGAGTCCCCTTCCCTGCCCTTGCTTTAAAAAAATGTGTAATTTTTTGGACCTGACTTTAATTGGGTCAAGTCTAATGAAGCTCGAAAATAAAATTATGTCTTATATCCAGACACATACTTTGCCCAACCTAATATAATCTATAAGATGTCAATTTTCTTTTTCTAACAGATCTAAGGACATTCGACTTCATTGACGGCCCTCGTCCCATATAAGAGTTGAAGATAAATTTGAAGCTAAGATAAAAGAGTACGGGAATTATGTATTCCATGGCAAGAACATTAAACTTAGGCACAGTAGGAGAGTAATTGGAGTCCTTATCCAAACGGGATGTATAACGCTGCTCAAAGGCAGCCATACTCGAGTTTCCTTTCCCTTATTAAACTTTTTTGACAGGTGTCGAATCTGTGCAATAATTATTATTAAAAAGTCTTAGTTACCACCACAATTAATTATAGAATAAATTCAAGTACTGAAGCAGGAACCTTAGGTGTGCAATGGGTTACTTGATTCACCCTGTCCCCGAAAAGTTTGCTTGATTCGATATACCAGAATTGCCTATAAAAGTATTAAATTTGCGTATAATGGCAAGTAGAGTCGATTCCACAGGGAACGGGTAGGAAGTTGTTTCTTTCCAAATCAATAGAACAAAATTGGGGGATATTTAATGAAGTGAAAATAAAAATAAAATAAACAAAATTCAAAAGCTAACTCACCAAATACAATTTACTAAAAATAGCAATTAATAAAAGTCTACTCAAAAGATCAACTTTTCAGGCACGGTCCAATTAACTGATCATCATGCAAAAATATTTCATTCATTCATCATTAGATTGGTTATAGCCATAAACAATCTCTGACAGCCAATTCTTCCTCACTTTTTCAACAGCAAAGGTACGACCGTTGGCTGCTAGAAGAACTCAATCCTAACCAATAAACACGCTAAGAGGGTTTATTTAAACTAAATCTTATGTTTCCCCAACACAAAGCCAATTATGATGGTTGTCATTAGTTGTCAACTAAATGAATAATTAGGGATTCAATTTAGTTAACGTGACAATAAGCTATTAAATTAAATTAAATATCCGGCCGTTGATACTCAATTAATAAAATACCCATGAACAATTAACCCAAGAAACGCACGAATAGTAACGAATTGGAAGAAATAATGAAAATTCGATTAAAT